ATGGTTGGGGGTCACCACAACATGAGGAACTGTACTAAAGGGTCGCAGCATTAGAAAGGTTGAGAACCACTGCCTTAGATACTTAAATAAAATGTGCGTTCATTCTATAATTTGTCTAGATTATAATGGCACTAAAATGACATTTCTATTACAAAGCAAGGTGAAGCTAAATTAAAGCGATATTCACTTCGCCCATAAATCGTCCATTTCCTGTTATTCACAAGAGAAGAACTTTAAGATGCTCGCCCGATGGTACAGGGACCCCCTCTCTCTACACAAAATATTCCCCTCCACACCTAACCTATGCTGGCGCTGTTCTAAAGCGGTCGGTACACAGCACCATATCTGGTGGGAATGTGACCTAATCAGAGGCGGACTGACAACTCGTGGGACCCCCGGGCAATAGGGGATCATGGGGCCCCTGTGTCCTTGCCCAAACTCAAAAAAGTCTATGAAAAATGTACCAGGGGCATCTCATGGGGCCCCCTACTGACCCCGGGCCCTCGGGCAGTGCCCGAGTTTCCAAATGATCAGTCTGCCCCTGGACCTAATACAACCCTTTCTGGCAACAGATCTTTGCTATATATGACGAGATTTATAGTGAATCTCTGACCCCCTCCCCGGACATTGCCCTCCTCTCTATTCTACCGGGCTCATTAGCTAGTCAGAAGAAAAGCTTGTTGCGCTTCTTCCTATCCGCGGCCCGCCAACTGATACCCCTCTTCTGGAAATCAACGACCCCCCCGCCGCTCCCCCTGTGGGTCTCGGTACTAAATGATACCATGTGCATGGTGGAAATGTTGGCATTTGACAATGACACTTATGATAAACACAAGCTGTTGTGGTCGGTCTGGCTCCACTTCTCCTCCTCCTCATGCCTACGAGTTTGTGCGCCCCTGTAGGGCTTTAATGGAGTCATACTCAACTCCCCCAGGCGCAAACCCCGATAAGGCTATATAACCCGCCCTGGGGGGGTGACCAGGGAGACCATACCGACGGAATGCCGGCGGTTGGCCACCTTGTAAGCTTTTCTCCGTCAACCGACCCCCCCCCTATGTTCCCCTCCCCCCCAATACCTCCACACACAGTGTCTCCCCCCCCCCTTTTTTTTCCTCTTCTTCCCTTCTCCCTCTTTCTTGGCTCTCTTTGCCTTCCCTCTTTCTTCCCTCTTGCCCTCCCTCCATCTTTCTCTTCTTTTCCCGCTCTCTCCTGAGCTCCCCCTTTATTCTCTACATCGCTTTCTCATTTAGATGTTAAGGAATTATTGTATCACCTTTGAATATTGCCTGATAGGGGATGCCCCCTTTCTAACTACGGGGGGATTCGTATCCCTACAATCCATAGACCACTCTAATTCCTATATTGTTGTTCCTTCCCGCCCATGCCACTGTTGATGTTCTTATAATTCTTTCTTTTATGCTATGTATTGTTTGATTTATTGCAAAATCTAATAAAGACAAATTTGCCTTTAAATTAAAGCGATATTAAAGGTTTATAATTTTTTTTTTAAAATAACGAACATGTCTATACTTACCTGCTCTGTGTAGTGGTTTTGCACAGAATAGCCTGGAACCTCCTCTTCTCAGGTCCCACGCAGGCTATCCTGGCTCCTCCTTTCTGGCGGATGCCCCCACAGCAAGCAGCTTTTCAGTGTGTCCATTCACACAAGGAGCCGCAGCTTTCCCCCCACCCCCCTTCTCCTCATTGGCTGACTAGCTGTGATTGACAGCAGTGGGAGCCAATGGCTCCTGCTTGCTGTCTCAACCAATGAAAAGACAGTGACCCGGGACAGCCAAGGCTGTCGTGCACATTGATGGATTGCGATGGGGCTCAGGTAGGTATTGATGGGGCTCAGATAAAGGTAGGTATTGATGGGGCTGGGGGGCAATTGCTGCACACAGAGGGTTTTTTACCATCATGCATAGAATCCATGACGGTAAGAAAGCTTGAGCCTTTAAAACCACTTTAAGGTACTGTTAATTAAATTAAAATTGAATTAAGGTTTTTTTTTTAGTTTTGTGCTTTAGATGTGTTTTGTTTATGTGTCACTAAAAAAAAGAAATAAAATGAATAAAAGCAAAAATGTATCAATTAAAAATATGGTAAAAATTAGAAAAAAAAACAGCAGCAAAATATTAGCTAAGTGGAGAAGGGGAAGAAGAAGTTAATTAGGGAATTAGGGCTCATTAGGAGTTAACTAAGGATAAATTGGGAAACAGTGTTTGGGTTTTGTTTTTTTTTATTTTATCTTGCCTGGTGTTCCTTTATATACAGCTCAAATGTCTCCACTTTTATCTGCTATAAATGATCCAGATTATTTACAATGTAGCAAAGTAACATTGCTACATTGTAATTCTTCTTGAAGCTGCACACCCTGCTGTACTTGTGTCTATTTACATGGAAGCAGAAAGAAAACGAGTCCCAACTGCCAAAATGATATCCTGATGTGATGAAATGATTTTTTTTTAAAATATAAATGACAAAAATTGTGGGGAAAACAATATTTTTTACTTTCTGCTATAAAACCTATCCAAAAAAAATTTTTTTTATCTGATTTCTTTATTCATTTTGGCCAAAACGTATTCTGCTACATGTCTTTGCTAAAAAGAAAATTCCAATATGTGTATATTGAGTGTTTTGTGTGAAAGCTATAGCACCTGCAAACTGGAATAGATACTAGAATTTTTTACTTTTTTTTATATTACTAATGGCAGTGATCAGCGACTTATAACAGGACTGCGATAGTGTGACGGGCAATCTGACACTAACTGATGCTGGGAGGACCGATTGACTGCCACTGATATCACCAGTGACACTAATACAATGATTAGAGATAATATTATACATTGCCACTATACAAATGACAATGGCTGGGAAGGGGTTAACATCTAGGGCAATCAAGGGGTTAAATGTGTGCCTAACAAGAAACACCGAGATCTTTCCCTCTGTACAGAGCTCTTTGTTGAATGTCAAAACAGGGCTCTGGGCATTGACTGTACACAGCCAATCAGCAGGTCCTGGCCATGAATCATTGGCCGGGACTTGCTAACAGGCTCCCGCTGTGTATAATCACAGCGGGCGACAGCCAAGGGGCATGCATATGCTCGCCTGGAACCTGGATGTAGGCGACAATGTACGGGTACGTGGTTTTGCCTACAACGTACGCCAGTTTGTAGTACATTGCGGGTGGGCAGTCGCTAAGTGGGTAAAGTGTTACTAAACTCCGGACCCTGCATTCACTATATCTGGTCTCCCCGGACCCTGCATTCACTATATCTGGTCTCCCCGGACCCTGCATTCACTATATCCGGTCTGGTCTCCCCGGACCCTGCATTCACTATATCTGGTCTCCCAGGACCCTGCATCCACTATATCTGGTCTCCCAGGACCCTGCATTCACTGTATCTGGTCTCCCCGGACCCTGCATTCACTATATCTGGTCTCCCACAGTACACGCAACATGGAAATGTGATTACTTTAGTAAATATAAACAAATTTCTTTTCTCATCAGCAGTTAGAGCAGTCTTGTGACTTCTATCAGTGTCCAGCCAAGCACTGGTTAAAGCTTGTAGGAGGAGTTTTCATTCTGCTGTAGGAGCAGGCAGAACCTCTAACCTCTGTCTGGACAGTGCTGATTGGCCCTGTGCTGATCACATGCACTCTCCCAAGAAAAAAAACCTCTCTAGCAATACACACCAGACTGAGCATGAGCAGAGTGACTACACATGATATCTTTATCAGGAAATAAGAGGGGGACACTGGAAGATGTGGAGGATCAAAGAAGTCAGGATCAAACAGCCTTTTTACACAATGCAGAGGCTTAACCCCTTAGGTTCCACAGTGCGTATAACAAGCATGCTTTACTGCAGATACAGACTGATTGCACTGTTGTTGGTTTAGTAACACTTTAAGTGAATTTACAGCTTTTATTACAAAAGCAAAAAATGGCAACAACCCTATTTATAACCGCTATAGAAATTGCTGATGACAATTCCACTGAGACCGCACAGGAAGTGAGGGGAAATCTCCCCAATGGAGACCCAGACAGCAATGAAAAAACTGACTGATACACTAACCCTTCTGTAGTATCAGTGATCTGGACACACAGAAGTCCCGACATGTACAGAGAAAGATGCCAGCTGGAACCTTCCTAATCAGGCATAATAGTATTTGGTGACATTCATCTGGACTTGTTCTCTACTGCTGGAGACATTTCATAGCTTATACAAGGCATTTCTACAGTTCTGAAAAAAAAAGTAGCTTGGATAAGCCATTAAAGGTTTGTTTTGGACATAACTGAACACGTCCAGTCTAATGAGACAAACTACTACTAAATATACCATGACCTGGAGAAATGAGAACCTCCACAGGCATATTCCCAATTATACTTTAACTGACAGCTCACAGCAGCCTCAGGACAAAAGCAATGAATGCTGGGAAGTCCAAAGACAACTTTTCCATATTAACCATTTGCCAACCGGGCACTTTCATCCCCTTCCTGTCCAGGCCAATTTTCAGCCCTCAGTGCTGTCGCACTTGAAATGACAATTGCGTGTTTTTTTTTCTCCTTCATTGCTGTGCGCTAATGAGGCTGCAGTGATGGGCACTGATAGGCTGAACTGATGGGCACTAATAGGTGGCACTGATGATGAGGCATTGATAGATGGCACTAATGGGCATTGACAGGCATCACTGATGGGTACTGAAAGGCAGCACTCATATATGGCACTGATAGGCGGCACTGATGAGCACTGATATGCGGCACTGATTGGAACTGTAAGGCGGCACTGACGGGCACTGATAGGCGCAACTGACGGGCACTAATAGGCGTCACTGACTGACACTGACTTGCACTGATAAGGTGGCACTGATAGGCAGCACCGATGAGCACTGATAGGCTACACTGATGAGGCAGCACTGGTGGGTACTGATGAGGAGGCACTGATATGCAGCAGTGATGGGCACTGATAGGCAGCACTGACTGGCACTGATAGGTGGCACTGAAAGGCAACACTGACTTGCACTGATAGTTGGCACTGAAAGGCAGCTCTGATGGGCACTGATATGTGAAATTGATGTGCACTGGTAGGCACTGGTATGTGGCATTGATGGGCAATTACAGGTGGCATTGATGGACACTGACAGGTGGCACTGATGGGGCTACACTGCTCATCAGGGGACTGATGATCAGTGAAGATGTCCCCTCTGAGGAATGCCAATTATCAGCTCTCCTCTCTCACATGCTGTCAGTGTCAGGAGAAGACTGCTGATAACCGTCATTTCCTATTTACACGTGATCAGCTGTAATTGGACACAGCTGATCACATGACAGAGCCGACGTCATCGGGTCTTTACTCTGATCAGTGATCCGCTGTGTCCCAGGGACCACCACCGATCAGCGCATATCCTTGGGGGTGCACATGCGCAGTTAGAGTGGCAGGACGTCAAATTTCCTTATATGGTGGGTGGGAGGCGGTTAAAGGATAAGTTCACCTTTGGGAACATGTTACATGTTCCACCCGCTTTTAGGGTGGGACATGTAACACGTTCCCAAAGCTGCAGCCGCTACCCGATCCCCCCCCCCCATAACAGCAGTATGGGGAGAAGTTCCCTGTGCAAGTTGTCGCTTTTTGAAAACAGCACAGCAGTGCAGGGCTCCGCCCACACAACTGCGTCATTCATACACAGAATTCTGTGAATAAATGAACTACAAGTCCCAACAGCCTTAGCAGCTATCAGCTTGTAGTTCTCAATAAACTACCATGGTGCTGTGGGCGTTTTGGTAGTTCATTGATTCTTCCTGTCAGTATATCTGCTTTCTTGTACATCCCGTACTGGCAAGCAGATATACTAACAGGTCTGCAGGAGACCTGCATGGTACCAGCGATCTGCAATGCTTTACAGGCTCCTGCAACAAAAAATAATAAATGCACATTTTTTTAACCTGCAAAAAAAGTGCATTTATTATTTTTTTGTCAAAAGGTGAACTTATCCTTTAAGCTCTACCTGCGCAACACCAGCATTAGAGAATATTGTACCTACATCATCATAAAAGGAATTAAAATGTACAATAATATAAGGTATTTAAGGTTTTTTTTTTACTTTTTATAAAATATTTTCTATATATACATAAAATTTTGCTCAGCACATCATTTTTATTTAGTACAACTGAACGTACAGTTGCAAGAAAAAGTATGTGAACCCCTTGGGATTACGTGGAGTTTTGCATGAATTGGGCATAAAATGTGCTCTGAACATCATCTAAGTCACAACAATAGAAGAACACAGTCTGCTGAACATAATACTACACAAACATTAGATGTTGCCATGGTTTAATTGCACATAACATGTAAACATTCACAGTGCAGGGAGGAAAAAGTATGTGAGGCCCTAGCTTAATGACTTCTCCCAGAGCTAATTGGAGCCAGGAGTGAGCCAACCTTGACTCCAATCAGTGTGATGATATTGGATGTGTTGCTGACAGCTGTCCTGCCCTTAAAAAACACACACCTGTTTTGGGTTTACTGATTTCAAGAAGCACTGTCTGATGTGAACCATGCCTTGCAGAAAAGAGCTCTCAGAAGACCTACGATCAAGAATTGTTGACTTGCATGAAGCTGGAAAGGGTTACAAAAGTATCTCCAAAAGCCTTGATGTTCATGTGTCCACAGTAAGACAGACTGTCTACAAATGGAGAAAGTTTAGCACTGTTGCTACTCTCCCTAGGCGTGGTCGTCCTGTAAAAATGACTACAAGAGCACAGCGCAGAATGCTGCATGAGGTAAAGAAGAATCCCAGAGTGTCAGCTAAAGACCTACAGAAATCTCTGGCACATTCTAACATTTTTGTTGACACATCTACAATAAGGAAAACATTAAACAAGAATGGAGTACATGGGATGACACCACGGAGGAAGCCATTGCTGTCCAAAAAGAATATTGCAGGACGTTTGAAGTTTGCAAAAGAGCACCTGGATGTTCCACAGCACTACTGGCAAAATATACTGTGGACAGATGAAACCAAGATTGAGTTGTTTGGGAAGAACACACAACACTATGTGTGGAGAAAAAAAGGCACAGCACACCAACATCAAAACCTCATCCCCACTGTAAAACATGGCGGAGGGAGCATCATGGTTTGGGACTGCTTTGCTGCCTCAGGGCCTGGACGGATTGTTATCATTGATGGGAAAATGAATTCCAGAGTTTATCAAGACATTTTGCAGGAAAACGTACGACCATCTGTCCGCCAACTGAAGCTCCGCAGAGGATGGGTGATGCAACAGGACAATGACCCAAAGCATACAAGTAATTCAACAAAACAATGGCTGCAACAGCACAGAATATGCCTTCTGGAGTGGCCCAGTCAGAGTCCTGACCTCAACCCAATTGAAATGCTGTGGCATGACCTTAAGAGAGCGATTCACACCAGACATCCCAAGAATATTGCTACACTGAGACAGTTTTGTGAAGAGGAGTGGTCCAAAATTACTCCAGATGGTTGTGCAGGTCTGATCTGCAACTACAGGAAACGTTTGGTTGAGGTTATTGCTGCCAAAGGAGGGTCAACAAGTTATTAAGTCCAAAGGTTCACATACGTTTTCCTCCCTGCACTGTGAATGTTTACATGTTATGTGCAATTAAACCATGGCAACATCTAATGTTTGTGTAGTATTATGTTCAGCAGACTGTGTTCTTCTATTGTTGTGACTTAGATGACGTTCAGAGCACATTTTATGCCCAATTCATGCAAAACTCCACGTAATCCCAAGGGGTTCACATACTTTTTCTTGCAACTGTATATGAATGCACATACCATTATCTATCTATCTATCTATCTATCTATCTATCTATCTATCTATCTATCCATTATCTATCTATCTCTCCATCTATCTCTCCATCTATCTATCCATCTCTCCATCCATCTCTCCATCTCTCCATCCATCTCTCCATCTCTCTCTCTCTCTCTCCATCTCTCCATCTCTCCATCTATCTCTATCTATCTATCTATCTATCTATCTATCTATCTATCTATCTATCTATCTATCTATCTATCTAACAACTCTCAATGTCTCCCTCTCTCTCTCTCTCTCTCTCTCTCATTATTCTTTGTTCAAACAGTAGCAGTGGATCTCACCACCCATCAAGAAGGCTGTAGCGGAAGGCAGAAAAATTACACACACACACAATTGAGAATATCGAATGACCTTCCTTTTTTTTGGCATGCCAGTCTCATTTCGAAAAGGAATAGGTTACTAAATTTACGAAAATTCTCATAAGACAGAATACAACTTCTTGAGAAGTTGTACTGCATTGTATTACAATGTATTCTTCCATTTCCAACCATGATTGGTCATTTGATTTTTTATGGACAAATCTTTGTTCTGTTTTCATACAAGAAAATGTTTGTGCTTGTCCCTTTGGATAATTTTGCATGAACTCTTGTGAACGGCTCTCGAAAGTTGTGTGCTAATGATCAGATTATTGGATGATCACTCCAAAAATGTTTTTTTATTTGGTCCAATTTTCTCCTCGTGTGTACTCAGCAGGTAGGGCACACAGCATTGTATAATGTACCTGAATAAAGCCAGATGCCTCGGAACCAGCCTTCTGGTGCTTAGGTCTTGGCTGAATTCAAAGTACAATATAATATCCCTGTGCTGGGCGAAAAGTTTCAGATTTTTCTGAGCTTCCCCTACTGATGGACACGGGGGAACTTCTGGATGTTCCACTGGAAGGAAACTAGAAGGTGTTTAGGCCTGCTGCCCATATGGGCTGTTTGCTCATTTCTGGACACTGGGACTGCTGGGAAGTTCCATATTGGCTGTGCTTACTGCCCTGTGCACTATTTCTCCTTGCCGTGCCTCTACTTCCCTCACAACTACTACCTGTGTAATCCTGAAGCCATAGCCAGGACACCCAGCCCTCTGAGAACTCACCATCGGCCTGTGAAGGATTTCTGTCCTGTGTGCTAGACACGTAATCCTTGCTGTGCCCTGTTACTGCTTGAAGGATCCCAGCCCCTTTCCCTGCCTACTGTTGCCCTGTGGACTTTTCTTTGTTGCTGTACCATATTTCCTCTCCATGGACGCTTAACCCTTGTTGTGCCCTATTACCAAGTCAATAGCAAACACAACATCTCCTGCATTTGGGAGTGGGCTCAAAAGTCACAATTTGTTGATATGGTTATGACTCCACTCTGTCTTTCATAGGTTGTACCTTGCTGCCCTCAAAGGATGGGGAAGTCTGAGAACACCGTAACCAGAAATCAAAACAGAGGGCACACTGGCCTAGTGCATTATCCTTAAAACATGATTTTACTTGTATAAAAGTCGTAAATATTATACTCACAAAAGACAAGTAAATTAGAGGTTTACCATAAAAAAGTACCATCCAGTCCACAATACATCCCATCACAGGGTCAATGGACATCCAACAGGCTAATGCGTTTCAAGGACTTGCCTCTTCCTCAGAGCCCTCTCTCTTATACTCTGTCAAGAATAGCAGTTCATTTAGAATTCTGGGTTCTTTTTTACATAGATGGGTAAAATATATTTTAAAAAAAAAGTGATAACATAAAAAAAAACTAATAGATACAATGGTTGACCTACAAACTATTCAACTAGACCTATGAAAAATTCTAGAGAAGGGAAAATAATCCGTAAGTATGGAGGTTTTTAATGCTTGTGCAGGCTTTTGTAGTATCAAGTGTGCCTAATAGGAAATGTTCACATTTCCATTTGGACTCTTGCCAGGCAGAAGCTATAGCTAAACAGAACTTTGTGATCAGAACATCCCTTACACAGCTGTGAGAAATGCTGAGCACAGTCTATGGGTCTCCCAGAGCATAATATGGATCATTTTTCAAAGAGCACCATGAATACCTCGGGAGTCAGACCAGGACAAGACAGGTAACAAATACTAATTATTATTATTAATAATGTTTTCTTATGAACAGATCTATGTGTACCATCACAGATTCCTCTTACTAAGGTGCCCAGACGACATCTTCTAAACTGTCCATGTTACTCTCCATCCATATAACATACAGTATTACTCAGTGTTATATTTTGATAAATTCTCAGAGCTCCCATCATATCAGTGTCCTCAGACCCCCTTCACATAAGTATCCTCAGAGCCCCGATTATATCAGTGTCCTCAGAACTCCCCTCACATCAGTGTCCTCAGACCCCAATCACATAAGTGTCCTCAGAGCACCGATCATATCAGTGTCCTCAGAGCTCCCCTCACATCAGTGTCCTCAGAGCCCCGATCATATCAG